CTAGTCGGCTTGCTGCCCATAGGGGTTCGCCTGTCCCGGACACTTACTTCTTTCTGCACGCGGGATCGCTGGGCGAATAGGCGGCTTTCTGTGCCTGGTTGCTTTCCCGTAGCGCAGCGTTGTCACTAGGGTTCGTTCGTCCGTGTGGGAGCGTGAGTCAGCGCTTCAAGCCTTTTCACGGCTGAGTAATATTCCACCGCAGGGACACACCGTGTGTGGCGGCCTATCCCAGTTCATGGGTTGACAGGCAGCTCCGCCATTCCCACCTTGCGGCAGATGTGAACAGCGCTGCACCGAACATTTCCTGCACAGGGTTCTGTTTGAGCACCTGTTTCTGATTCCCTAGGGTAGGAAATTGCACCGGGACTGCGATTGAGGGGTCGGGTGCTAATTCTGCCGGTAACTCACTGAGGAGCCGCCCAGCGGATTCCCACAGCAGCTTTGCATTCCCAGCAGCAGTGTGTGAGTCCCAGTCCTTGCGCACCCTCGCCCGAACTCGTCTTTTTGCCTTTGTTTTGCTTTCTTGTGCCTAGAAGAGCCAGCCTACTGGCTGCGAAGTGGTGCCTCATGGCGGTTGTGATTTGCATCGCCCTGTTGGCGCATGATGTTGAGCGTCTTTTCATGTGCCTCTTGGCCATTTGCACATCCGCTTTGGAGGAACGTCTGTTCAAGTCCTTTCCCATTTTTTAACTGGGTTGTTCGTTCGTGCTTTCATTGTTGACTTGTAGGTGTTCTTTATGCATTCTGGAAAATACACCCTTATCCCATGTGTGATTTGCAAATGCTTCTCCCATCCTGTGCGTTTTGTCCTTTCACCTTCTAGACAGAGTCCTTTCATGCACAAAAGTTTTTGGTTTGGATGGTGTACAACTTATCCTCTTTCCACCACCCCCCTTCTTTTGTGGCCGCGCTTTTGCTGCCCTATCTAAGGAACTGTTGTGTAGTTAAAGCCAGGGGGATTTATATCTATGTTTTATTCCAAGAGTTTCATAGTTTCATCGCTTACGTTTGGGTTTGTGATCCATTTTGGAATTCATTTTCATACGTGGTGTGAAACTGGAGCCCACGTTCATTCTTTTTTCTGTCAATATTCAGTTTTCCCAGCACCGTTTGTTGAAGAGATTGCTCATTCCTCCATTGAACGGTCTGGGCCCCCTTGTTGAATATCAACTATTCATAAATCTATGGGTTTATTTCTCACTGTAAATTCAAAAACATTGACCTACATGTC